TCCGGGAATCCCTGAGCTCCATCCCGGATAAATCCTGGATTTGCCCCTTGGTGGCGGAGACGTTCCGGCAGCTCCGCGACGCCGACGGATCCGCGGCGGAGAAGGTGAGGCCGGGGAAAATCCGGGAATGTTTCCCGCCTCCTCCCGGCCGTTTCCCGCTGGAATTCCCGTTTTTTTTCCCAGGATTTCCTCTACAGATCCATGGGAACGGCGCTGGGGCTGTGGCCCGGGAAGGAGCTGGTCCGGAGGCAGCTCCAGGAGCTCCTGGAAAATGCCCAGTACCAGGAAGAGGCCGAGCGGGAGGTGAGGGATCCCCGGGAATTCCGGGAATTCCGGAGGGTTTCCCTCCTGGCAAAGGCGTGGGGCCGCTCTTCCCGGGAATTCCTGGGAATGTCGGGGTTGGGAGTGGGCTGGGATTGGGATTTCCTGAGGGGGTGGGGGGGGGAAAGTGCGGAATTCCGGGGAAATGGAGGATAAAATGATGGAATTCCGGGGAGATTGTGGATAAAATCCTGGAATTCCGGGGAAATCATGGATAAAATTATGGAATTCCAGCTAAAATCCTGGAATTCTTTGGGATCACAACTAAAGTCATGGAATTCCAAGGAATCATGGATAAAAATCATGGAATTCCGGGGAAATCGTGGATAAAATGATGGAATTCCAAGGGAATCATGGATAAAATCATGGAATTCCAACAGAATCCTTACTAAAGTTCTGGAATTCCAAGGAATCCTGACTGAAATCCTGGAATTCTGTGGGATCACAACTAAAACAAAGGAATTCCAAGGAATCTCTCTAAAATCCTGGGATTCCCTGGGATTCTGGGCTAAAATCCTGGAATTCCATGGATCCTCTTCTAAAATCCCGGAACTCTGTGGGAATTCCAACTAAAATCCTGGAATTCCATGGACTGCCACCAAAATTCTTACGGAATTCCATCCCAGCCCTTCCCAGGCAGGAATTCCTGCCCGAAAATCCTGGAATTCCTGGAATTCCAAGCGGGAATTCCCTTGGCTGGCGCAGCCCAGGAGTTGGGAGTAAACGTTGGGGGAAAAATCCGGGAATTCTGTGGGGTTTCATTCCCGGAATTCCCGCAGGGTTTGGCTTCCTGCTTCGGGATCTGCGCCCGGAGCCACCCGGAAGAAACGTTGGAAAAATTGGAGGAATTTGAGCAATCCGACGCCTGCAGGAAATCCCAGGGATTCTTCAGCATCTTCAAGGTGGGAATTCCCGGCGGATTCTCGGCAAAAATGGGAAAAACGGGAATGGCGAGGGGGATTTTGTGGGAATGTTCCATCCCTTCCTTGGAATTCCAGGATTTCAGGAGGATTTTTAACACGGTTCCCTTGGAGTATTCTGTTCTTTTCTTGGGAATTCCGTGATCCCAAAAAAATCCCAGCTTTCCACAAATCCCGTCATTCTGGAATTCCCCAATTCCATGAATCCGGAGTTCCATAATTCCAGAAATTCCAACAACTCCACGAATCTGGAATTCCGTTTTCTCCATGTTTTTCCGTGTTTTTTCCATATCTTTCCCCTTGTTTTCCGTGGGGTTTTTTCCCATATTTTTCCCATGGCATTCCCATATTTTTCCCACGGCGTTCCCACATCTTTCCCGTATTTTTCCATGCTTTTTCCATGTTTTCCATGTTTTCACCCGCTTTCCCTGTTCTCCCACCTTTCCCCGTATGTTTTCCCATGTTTTCCCATATTCTCCCATTTTTCCCGCATTTTCCCACATTTTCCCTGTTTTCCCACATTTTTCCCATGTTTTTCCCATTTTTTTCCACATTTTCCCACATTTTCCCTGTTTTCCCTCATTTTTCCCTCATTTTTCCCTCATTTTTCCCTCATTTTTCCCACCTTTTCCCACATTTCCCATTTTTCCCATTTTTTCTCACATTTTCCCTGTTTTCCCTCATTTTTCCCATATTTTCCCATTTTCCCCATTTATTTTCCTACATTTTCCGTTTTTCCTCAGTTTCCCATGTTTTTCCCATTTTTTTCCCTGTTTTTCCCACCTTTTCCCATTTTTCCCCACATTTTCCCTGTTTTTCCCCATTTTTCCCATGTTTTTCCCTGTTTTTCCCACCTTTTCCCTTATGTTTTCCTACATTTTCTGATGTTTTCCCCCATTTTTCCCAGGTTTTTCCCACCTTTTCCCATTTTTTTCCCCACCTTTTCCCATTTTTTTCCCCCATTTCCCCATTTTTTCCCCATTTTTCCCAATTTCCCCCCCTTTTTCCCTGTTTCCCCCCATTTTCCCAACACTTTTCCCTGTTTTTCCAGGACCAGAACAAGCTGGATGCAGAGCAGTCCCGGGCAGCGCTGGCGCTCTGCCTGGCCCACCTTTCCCATGGGCTTTTCCCCATTTTTTCCCCATTTTTTCCCCATTTTTTTCCCCATTTCCCCCCCACTTTTTCCCCATTTTTTCCCCATTTTTCCCCATATTTTCCCATTATTTCCCAACACTTTTCCCTGTTTTTCCAGGACCAGAACCAGCTGGACGTGGAGCAGCGGCGGGCAGCCCTGGCGCTGTGCCTGGGCCGCCTTTTCCCTTGGGTTTCCCCTGGGTTTTTCCCCTTTTTTTTCCCCATTTTTTCCCCATTTTCCCCCCATTTTTTCCCCCAGATTTTCCCATATTTTCCCATTATTTCCCAACACTTTTCCCTGTTTTTCCAGGACCAGAACCAGCTGGACGTGGAGCGGCGGCGGGCAGCGCTGGCGCTCTGCCTGGGCCGCCTTTTCCCTTGGATTTTCCCCATTTTTTCCCCATTTTTTCCCCCATTTTTTTCCCCATTTCATCCCCATTTTTTCCCCATTTTTTCCCCATTTTTTCCCATATTTTCCCCATTTTCCCAACACTTTTCCCTGTTTTTCCAGGACCAGAACAAGCTGGACACAGAGCAGTCCCGGGCAGCCCTGGCGCTGTGCCTGGGCCGCCTTTTCCCTTGGGTTTCCCCTGGGTTTTTCCCCTTTTTTTCCCCATTTTTTCCCCATTTCCCCCCCATTTTTCCCCCCATTTTTCCCCATTATTTCCCATTATTTCCCAACACTTTTCCCTGTTTTTCCAGGACTAGAACCAGCTGGACACGGAGCAGCGGCGGGCAGCCCTGGCGCTCTGCCTGGGCCGCCTTTTCCCTTGGGTTTTCCATGGATTTTTCCCCACTTTTTCCCCATATTTTCCCCATTTTTCCCCCCATTTTTTCCCATTATTTCCCATTATTTCCCAACACCTTTCCCTGTTTTTCCAGGACCAGAACCAGCTGGATGTGGAGCGGCGGCGGGCAGCCCTGGCGCTCTGCCTGGGCCGCCTTTCCCTGGGTTTTCCCCATTTTTCCCCATTTTTTCCCCATTTTTTCCCCATTTTTTCCCCATATTTTCCCCATTTTTTCCCCATTTTTTCCCCATTTTTTCCCCATTTTTTCCCCATTTTTTCCCCCATTTTTTCCCATATTTTCCCCATTTTCCCAACACCTTTCCCTGTTTTTCCAGGACCAGAACCAGCTGGACGTGGAGCGGCGGCGGGCAGCGCTGGCGCTGTGCCTGGGCCGCTTTTTCCCTTGGGTTTTCCATGGATTTTTCCCTGGGCTTTTCCCCATTTTTTCCCTGGAGTTTTCCCCATTTTTCCCCATATTTTTCCCATTATTTCCCAACACTTTTCCCTGTTTTTCCAGGACCAGAACCAGCTGGACGTGGAGCTGCGGCGGGCAGCGCTGGCGCTCTGCCTGGGCCGCCTTTCCCTGGGTTTTCCCCATTTTTCCCCATTTCATCCCCATTTTTCCCCCCATTTTTTCCCCATTTTTTCCCCCATTTTTTCCCATATTTTTCCCATTATTTCCCTGTTTTTCCAGGACCAGAACCAGCTGGATGTGGAGCGGCGGGCAGCGCTGGCGCTGTGCCTGGGCCGCGTGGCGGCGGCGGCGCCTCCGGAGCCGCGGATCCTCGGCTGCCTCCTGCGCCTCGGCCGCTCCAAGGTCACGGAATTCCGACGGAATTCCGCCGGAATTCCGCGGGAAATCCATGGCGATTGTGTGGGGATTTATTGGGGATTTATTGGGGATTTTTGGGGGATTTTACAGGAATTTTACAGGAATTTTCGGGAAATTTTACGGGAAATTTTGGAGAATTTTACGGGAATTTTACAGGAATTTTTGGGGAATTTTACGTGAATTTTTGTGGAATTTTACAGGAATTTTTGGGGAATTTTACAGGGATTTTACAGGGATTTTTGGGGATTTTATGGGAATTTTTGGATAATTTAACAGGAATTTCGCAGGAATTTTACTGGATTTTTTTTTTAATTTTTCAGAAATTTTTTGAGACTTTTACAGGAGTTTTTCTGAATTTTACTAGAATTTTTGGGGAATTTTAAGGGAATTTTACACGAATTTTACAGGAATTTTTGGGGAATGTTACGGGAATTTTACAGGAAATTTTTAAGAACTGTACGGAAATTTTACAGGACAGGACTTCTACAGGAATTTTATGGTAATTTTTCAGGAGTTTTTGGGGAATTTTATGGGAATCTCGCAGGAATTTTACAGCAATTTTTGGAGAATTTTATGGGAATTTTGTGGGAATTTTTTTGGAATTTTACAGGAATTTAACAGAAATTTTCTGGGAATTTTTTGGGAGTTTTTGGGGAATATTCCAGGAATTTTTCATGAATTTTCCACAATTTTCCAAGAACTTTCCAGGAATTTTTTGAGAATTTTCCATTAATTTTCTAGGAATTTTCTGGAAACTTAGCAGGAGTTTTCTGTTTTTTTTTTTTTTTTAATTTTTCAGGAATTTTCCGGGAATATCCAGGGAATTTTCTTTGAATTTTATGAGAATTTTCCCAGATTTTCCCAGGAATTTTTGGGGAATTTCCCAGGCTATTTCCAGGAACTTTCCAGGAATTCTGGGGGATTTGGGGGGAATTTGTGTTTTTCCCACTGGAATTTCATTTTTTTCCTGCTGGGATTTCGGGTTTTCCAGTGAAATTTCCCATTTTTTTTCCTGCTTGGATTTGGGCATTTTCCCGATGAAATTTCGGTTTTCCTGCTGGCATTTGTTTTTTTTTTCCCGATGGGATTTTGGGTTTTTCCAATGGGATTTTGTTTTTTCCTGGTGAAATTCCATTTTTTTTTCCCGATGGGATTTAGGTTTTTTTCCCCCCCGCTGGAATTTCGTTTTTTCCATTGGGATTTCGCTTTTCCCGCTGGAATTTTGTTCCTTCCCAGAGGAATTTGGGATTTTCCTGATGGGAATTTTGGTTTTTTTCCGCCCGTTCAGGTTCTGGGAATAAAAGTAGGGACCAAGGTAGGGAATTTTGGGATTGGCCTTGGAATTTTTCCTCTTTCCGCTTTTTCCTCTCATTGCGGGCTGGAAGCGCTTCCCGAAAAAATCAACGGAATTCCCGGGAAAATTCCTGGGAAAAAGGGATGGGAAAGGCGGGCCTGGATCTGCCAGCCCAGATGATCCCGGAATTCCACGGTCCCAAAATCCCGGAATTCTGTCATCCAAGAATTCCACAAATCCACAATGCCGGAATTCCGTGAATCTGGAATTCCACGGTTTCAGAAATGCCGAGATCCCGGAATTCCAGAATTCCCTGATCCTGGAATTCCACAGTCCCATTCTGGAATTTTGCCGTCCACTAATACCAGAATTCCAGAAATTCCAGAATTCCCTGATCCCGGAATTCCACAGTTCCATAATTCAATTATATTGGAATTCCAGAATTCTGGAATTTTGCCGTCCACTAATACCAGAATTCCAGAAATCCCATTAATTCCATGATCCTGGAATTCCAGGATTCTTTAATCCCATCATTCTGGAATTCTGTGATTCCATGGAATCTTCCCACTTGGACTGGGGCATTCCCGGGGATTTCCATGGAATTTTCCGGTCGGGAATTCCCTCCTTGGGCTCCACTAACGCCTCTCCCTCGCTGCCTCTAACGGATTCTGCAAGGAATTCCCGGATTTTTTCATAATTCCAGGGGGTTTTTTGGGATTTCTGGATTTTTTCTGTAATTCTTGGGTTTTGATGGGATTCCTGGATTTTTCCAGATTTATTTTATTTTACTTTATTTTATTTTATTTTATTTTATTTTATTTTATTTTATTTTATTTTATTTTATTTTATTTTATTTTATTTTATTTTAT